ACGGTTGATTAAAATAAAACGTCTAAACATGAAATGAGACAATCATTTATATAATGACCTATTTATTGATACGAACCTCTTATTGGTGTTTGTCGGACGAGTCGGCGATTGTGATTGTTCTTCAGGCATATTACCTTGGATTTGCTTTCTTCACAAATAACACTCATTCTTTTAAAAATGTGATATTTAAGGAAGAAAGAATGCGATAATATTTTCTAGACAAACATTTATGTCATGTGTTTGCACACATGCATATCTGAACATGTTTTTTGATCTTCCAATATTCTTATCCATATAAAGAAATATTTCAGCGCATATTTCAGTTTTGTGCAAGCTTTCAGTAATTCATATCCGCTAAAATTAATTTGAATGATCGATGGCAATATAAATATAATCTCTCTTTTTTTGACATCATACACTAAGATTATAAAACGTGCTTTATCCAGAATGCGTCATAAAATTTTTATTAGTAAGTTATTTGGTAAGCAAGAAACCATTTCGATTATAATTCCATACAAGGATTAATTCTGGATAGACTATTTTGTAAACTTTATAAAACAACATATTGTGATTAGTTGGAACGAACAAATTCTTGTGAGAAGAGTCAGACTGATAATCACCAATATTAACTCAATAATTACTCACGCTAATGAAAAAAAAAATAAACATGATTTTTTATGATTTATGATACATACTCTTTCTAGTCACATGAAAAGAAAATTTGTTTTCAAGCGAGTTCTTTTGTTCGAATCTATATACAGGATGATTCACTTTTTTTTACTATTTTTCTTCAATTTATTGTATTTCTGTTAAACGTCAGAAATTTTTTATTTCTATATGATTAGATAGAGTGTTGATTACTCTATCCAACAGTATAGTTTTCATTTGATTTATCTCATGTGTTGGTTAAAAAAATGAGTAAGTTTCGTGAAGCAGACAAAAAAAAATTTTTTTGTGTAGAATTTCGAGATGTTTTCTTCGAGTAATTCAAGTAATTATAACCTATTGGACAAATGAATATATTTCATTTTTATATAGTTAGATAGAGAATTCATTTCTCTATCGAACTATATACATTTTTTTTATCAATTTATTTTCCATTTTGACGAAAAATTTAGTGAATGTTTAACAAATTTTTTTGACAAAAGTTTAATTATTTGTCTTTATTGAGTAAATTCTTGTCATCTAGGTATATCAATCTTTTCCATTAATATACAGCTCAATAGAGCAATAATTTCTCTATTGATTGATGCAATTTTAACATGATTTAATTATAAAATCTTATAGCTAAATTTGAGATTATATGAATAACACCGGAAATGAAGTAGTGTGAAAGTGTCTAAAATTTCAATAGGAAAATTTTATTTTTTCCTCGAATTCAAAATAGTTTCATTCAATAGTTGGTATAACTTTAAGTTTGAAGGATCTCTTCCATTTAAGGCTAATTTTACGATGATCGAATTTGACCTGAGTCAAGTATACGTTTACAAAAGTTTCTTTTTAGCTAGTTTTAGAATTTCTTAAATTTTTTAATCAAGATATGCGATAAAACAAATGAAAACTATACCACTGGATAAAGTAATCAATGTTCTATCTAATCATATAGAAATTAAAAAAAATATCTGACGTTTTATAGAAATATAATAAACTGAAGAAAAATAGTAAAAATAAGTGAATCATCCTGTATACTTATGCAAACTCATCACTGGCACTTGTATATATTTTTTATGATATTAGTAATAATGATATCATACGTAGAGAAAGTGGTAGCAAGTACAGATAAATAAAAAAACACTATACGATTACAATTCGATTGAAAGCAGTTTTGAAATAACTGCAAAAATGTTCTATTAATTATTATTCTATGGGAATGCTGCTACTAATAAACATTGAGATTTCATAAAATAAAGAACATCAATCATGTGAAAATCTTTGTGCATAGATCAATAGCACCATTGGAAACGAACCTGTTCTCAAATGACGTAATTTTACTACAAATCATGCTTTTCTACTCATTTGTAATCGTCATTCGTGCTATTAAACATTAATTAAGTAATCATTTGAGACTTCAGAATAAATTTATGGAAACAGAAAACTCATATTACGAATATACTAGGTTATATAATCAAAGCACCAAAGTTAGTGCTTTGTCTTTATTTTTTTTAGTTCGAAAACTCTTTTATTATCTTCTAGAAAATATTAATATCAGCTTGTTTCAATGTCTAATCAATTCTTCTTCTTTAAATATAAAGCCTTATTTGTTTCTTAAGCTTTGTCATACATCGTATTGATACAAATTAGACAAAGGTCTCTAATAGATTAAACGTGTAGAACACTTGGCAAATTGTACTACATCGATAGAAATGACTAGAGTGAATATGGATATTCTTTCCTTCTCCTAACAAAACTAACTTTTTTTTTTGTCAATTCATAGGCAGACATGATGTCTAATGTTATTCTGAGAGTTCGATTGTTGAAAAAATGATTAAAAGATTCTTGAGACCTGAGATTCTCCGCAGAGATCTCTGAAAAATTTCTATCTTTGATTTGGTTGAGACGTATATTCGTTGGTAGTTCAGTGTGCTGATTGAAAATACCAATATGTGAAGTGGGTGTGTGTGAGAGGGTGTTCATTCCTTATTTATATCCTTGCCACTCTCAATATGTTAATCCATGAGTAAAAAAAAAGCTAGAAAGTCATAAAGCTTGACAACTGTTGAAATCTTTTTGTTTCTCAATGCAGCAGACAATAAATTTAAAGCATACTATATGCTGCTAATCAGATTCCTGAACAATCCCTCATAATTGCATAATCCGATGAAAATCGTCACAAAGCTTAATCAACGATGGTTTATTTTGTTTTTCCACTGAACAGAATCGATAGAAAAACTTTTATACCTTCATACATATGATATTTCATAATTAATCAGCAAATTAGTTGAGTAAATGAGTCATACAATTATGCACCTATGGAACGATCGATGAATAACTAAGATATCCACATACATTTTTCTTTTTTTTTCTTGCATTCTAAAGAATCTTGTTGTTAGTATTTAGATGAAATGTCTTCATAAATTTTGACTTACTTAACAATCAATAAACATTTTGAATTACCAAATTAGAATGTAAGGATATTTTGTATAAAAATTAGAAATACAATTGGTTCGATTTTGTTTGGAACTAAAACCAGCCAACCAACCAACCTACCTAGTTTATAAAAAATACGATTTTGCACTGATTTCATCGTTGAGAAAACTGACAATTAATTAAAAAAAGAGAGTTGGAGGGTGTGGGTGTGAATCTTCATCTCTACCACACTCCACACCCCAGACTCACACCCAAACCCACACCCTCGAAGGCTTTGTGAAATAAATGAATTTAAAATATATAAACATTAAAAGAAAATAAAGATTTATGAGGAAGAATCTGAGCTCGCAACACTATTTAGGAATTAAGAATAGAGTTAACAGTGAAATAATTAAGAACAGAATTTTCTACATAATCTTGACCAATAGTTTTTGACAATTTTCTGATAATTACCGATAACAGTATTTTTTTTTATATCTTCATGAAAACAAAAGCTTTTTAAAAAAATTTTTTTATCAAAATTCTTAGAATTAAAAGCTCTACAAACGCTGAAAGTTTCATCGAAATCGGAGAACTTTTTGGTAAGCATGTCAGAGATCTGGTGGAAATACCCAAATAAATATTCGTATTTCTCGATTGAACGTATCAATTACATGAAATTGAAAACGAAAAAAAAACAAGACATGTTAATCTTCAGAATTCTAGAATATCTCATGATGAGGAGAAGCTTCAAAATGCTTTCCAAGCAGAAATCAGTAAACAATAGATTAGTTCACTAAAATAAAGTTCCATTAATGATTAAATTATTTAGTATCGCACTCAGAATATAAATAGACTTCTGTTACTTAGCAGAATTCGAACATATTTTTTTGTTTTAATTCTCAAGAGACAATATATACATTCAAGTACATATTGCATGTTTAAAGGAATATTATAACGAATAGTTTTCCATTTATTTTAGAATATGGATCTATGTAATAAATAGTTTAAGTAACAAAAAAAAAAACATGTAAACTCAGATTCGAGCATATTTTGATTAATTAATGTAAAATTTATCTTGTGGAAAATAAAATTTTTTATCGAGAAATAAGAAGAAAAACAGAATTTTGAATTCTACTCGTTAGGTATCCTACAATTGCTGAAAAAAAAACTAAAAATTTCATTGATTATTTTAAAACAAGTTTATCATGTATCATGAAGAAAAATCAGTTGATCTCGATTTTCATTTTCGATTCAATTTCTTTATTCTTTAAATCAATTTTTATCTGTTTTTTGCCCTCATTTCTTTTTTCTTTCTAATGAATTCAAGCACATCGAATTCCTAATACTTGGAATTGAACTGGCATCAGAAAACCGCGCTAAATAAATCGATGATGATTTTTTCGTAATAGAATAAATATATTCATCTCTTGCATATAGTATGATTGATTAAAAAAAAAAAAAAAAGTAAACTTGAACATCTACTGAATGATATTTTTTTATGCCAATGTTACACTGCAAACATTTTTTAAAACTCTATCGCATAAATCTCGTATTCTCCGTATAAGACTACTTTTGCATTTACAAGCAACGTTTGCAAAAAAAAAATTAGAATAATTTTTGAACATGGCAGAGCATTAGTCCACTTAAAGTTTATCTGATAAAATTACTTTTTTAATTTAGAAACTATGTTAGGAATAAAACTAGAGTGACTTTTCAACGTACAAATAGCTAAAATTCTATCCGTACCAAAAAGTTGGAATTAACTCAGATGTATGTTTGATAGCATTAACTTTCTTTGTACTCTTTAAAAGAAATCTGTACATAATCAACTCTTCGAATCGTTTTAGCACTGTTTGTATTCTACATTTTTATTGAATTCGATCCAGTACAATCATTTAATAGATTTCAAATGCAAAAGGTTTAAAGCTAGATTAGCCTTTTTTCAATGACATAATATGATCTCGAACAGTAAGGCAAAGTAGAAAGAGTGCATCCGGTATTTTGTCAGTGAAAATTTTCATTGTATATTTGTTGGCTACTGTTGATGATACCACATGTATTCGATACTCAGCTACAACTTGATTTCGTTGTGTTTCATCAAAAAATTTTGTTGTAAACGAAGGAACATTTTTAGTCATTAACAATTGTTTTCCATTCCAATTGATAATATATTTATGATTGAGTATTTTCAATTTGTGATTAATTGTACCAGTAATCCATTTGTTTGATTTAACATCTAATATTTCTAATGTACCTTTGTATAATAAAAATGTAATTTGACTCTTAAGTCGAGCAATAATTTGTTTCGATGGATAAGCAACAAGTTCGACAGAATGTAGAGCATTATAACGAGATTCAATTCGATGCTTAAGATTTTTACCAGTTTGATCATAGATCGAAAATTCACCTGCTTTTACACCAGTAAAAAAAATCTTTTTTTAATTACATATTCACGTTTCGACGTTGAACAAGTAATGATTGTAATGAATAAAAGTAATAAGATGCACCGCAACATTATTAGTTGGTTTCAAGAAAAGAAATATGTTATTTATAGTTTAGGATAACAGCAAATAAGAGAATATTTCCCATGGTTTTTTTAACCAAAACATCAGCGTTAATATACCATACGATGGACCGATATTTGTCTATTAATATTTATATGTCGATACTCTTTTGGCTCGCTTCTAATAAGTATTCATAACATAGTCGAGAAACACAGATGCAGTGGTTTGATTAACGCATTAGTAACAGAATGCAGTATATTATCGCATCTCTATGTGTTGTTATTAAGAAGACATATTATTTCTTCATGAGTACAAATACAAGTCGATGTCATCCTGTCGTTTTTGTACCAATTGCAATACATTAATGGAAAAAGTTCTTTATTTCGCTAGAGATTTTATATCATTCAAGCGTTTAGTTAATGGTTGAAAGTTAAAACTTAAATGCATATTAAAGATGAAAACAATTTATATCTATTGATGTCTAAATTGTTGTCATTTAGGTAATTCAGATATGCGTCAAAAGCTAATACAAATATATATCTAAATCTTACTAATAAAAACGATTCAAGTGTTCAAACACGTGCTTACAAATGAGTAACGCTTTTCTCAATAGAGAATAATTCGTTCTCATAGTTGGAAAACATTCATCTCAAGAATGTATTCATAATCGAATGTAATTAGTGTCTTAGTATGCATTACAACGCATGCACTGAGAACACTATGTTAATTGGAAAATTTTCGCCTTTTAATGTGAGAATATATTCTTGCTACTCTTATCACATAACAAGACAGACTTCTACTTACTTAAAGCAATTATCTTTCAAGAGAATTGTCATAAATGTTTTTCTTGAAACTCATGGATGCCTCCAAAGAAAATAGTGAGCATAAGCTCTATGTCCCTATTACAGACATTAAAATCTCCTTCCATTTATAGACCTTAACAAACATGATTAACAGTGCGGAGAAACATTAATAATAAGGCTTAGATTAGAATGATTATGATTCCTCACAAATTGTAGTTTCCTAAGTCAAGTTCACATTTGTGGACTACCAAACAATTCAAATTAATGATAGTGATCAGGTAAAGACTTTTTAGAAAATTTTTTTATTTGGGAACTTTTTACTATAAGATATTACACATGGACATCTGATAGGGAACACCATTGTAAGTTGGATCTTTCTACGAATTATTATTATAACAAAAACTGGTCATCAGTACCTATGTTAAAACCTATAAACTAATTATTGGACTCAGGTCGTAAAAAGAAGCAAGTTATAATGGTGTTCATTATGAGGAACCCATATATAATGTCTTATAGTAAAAAGTTCCTACTTGGTCACCACTATTAATCTGAATCGCTTGGTAGTTAACAATCGAAACAAAAAAAAAAAGCGTCTGAAAAATGAGTCTCTTCTTGTAGTATATATCTATTTCTTTCAACATTGACCAGTTTATCTTGTACACCGATGTTACACTAATAATAAACGAAAAAATGATATGTAATAAATCTATGTTATTCCTCTTCTAGTTCATATTTAAATTGTATTTAGTTCAAAGTAGTTCTTTCAATAATTATAGAATAAAGTAGAAAAAAATATTTTTGATCATCACTTGTTTTTATTTTTCTCGTTTCAAATACTTCACCGAACATGAATGTAAGTGTTCATATGCCTTGTGCATGCATATGTTAGAAAAAAATATCAACATTCACAAATCTACCAGCAAACAACACTTTTTTTTTGAATTGTTATCGTATGATGCCTTATCTGAATTCAGTAGAATTTAAATTTAAACATCTATTCATAAAATATATGGCTAAACCTTGCTCAAAAAAAAAGAATCAATTCCTATATCACTTATACTTTAATAAACAGAAAAGTAAGTACAGGGATGTCCGAAAAATTCAAATAAGACATCTAATCTTTCGATTACTTCTTGCATTTGGCATTGGATTTATCGTAATGAGAATGAATTCTTTCCCACTACGACATAGACAAAAAAGTAATTTGTCTACGAATGCACTATTAATCATGTTTCGAATGTGAAATCGATCTAATGTTATGTAACGATGATTCATATTTTCTTTATAATACTTGACATTGTAAAACTACCTATAGTACAGATGAATATGAATGTGCTATGTTTATTAATCAAAAAGACAATGTTTGTTTGTTAGTATTTGAAAAAACAGTTTTTGAATTCAATTAAAACAAATATTGTATAGAAGTTTAGCAATAGAAAGTACTTTAAATGGAGATTTATCAATCAATATTTGTGTATTTGGATAAGTATTTGTTACATAAAATGTATCAAAATGAACTTTTGGATTATTTGAATGTATGAATTTTTTCCAACTTTCATTTGGAAATATACCATGAGCAACAAAAGCAGATATATTAACAGCACCAGCTTTTAAAAGTGCTTGTGCACATTCAATAAGTGTACCACCTGATTGTACTAAATCATCAATAATTATACAATGATAACCTGTTGGATTACCTTTAGAAGACAAAAAAAGAAAAGAAAAAATTATTTACATTCTAATATTTTTATGTAGAAAATTTAAAACAAACCTTCTTTAATAGTTGTAATTCTTTTATCAACTTCTCGAATTTTACTACAAATTATAATTGAATATTTATTTTCTTCAAACATATGAGCAAATCTTTTATGAGCTCCATCATCAGGAAATGCAATAGCAAATTTTTCATTTTGATTTTCTCGATTATTTAATTCATCTAATAATAATCCAACTGTTGATTCAAGACGAACAATAACATTTGATGAAAAATAAAATTGATTTTGTAATGCATGTATATCAAATAGAACAACTTCACATGGACCAGTACGTGTTACTGGAATTGATGAAAGCATTTGTGCAAATGAATAAGCTGTTGCTATTTCACCTTGAATTTGTATACGTTCCATTGTACCCGTTGGAAAATATGGTAAAAGAATTTTTAATGAACGACAAAGATATTTTGGTAAATGATAAAGAAGTGAAATTTGTTCAAATATTGTTTGTGGATTATGAAATGAAGCTAAGAATAGAACATGACTATTACGAATTTCTTCAGAATTATGAATAAAAATATTTGGCCAATTATCAGGAAATACTTTCCATTCAATATCACCTAATTCAATACGATGTTCTCTACTATATGATTGAACTTCTTCAGCTAGTTTTTGCATTTCACGAGCATAAAATAAAATCGTAGTAAAACCATCACATATACCATGTGAATGTTGTCGATATGTCATTAAACTAGCCAGCGATCCACAATTAACACATTTCATATTATCAGTCATTGTAAACAATAAAAATTCTTTAATGTGTTTTGAATGATATTAAACAGTGACCTACTATTATTATAACAAATGGTTGGTAAGATGTATATATGTTGTGGTCAAAATTAAAATTCAGTCAAATTTAAAATTTGCCTAGTCAAAATTGAAATTTTAATTTTGCCTAGACAAAATTAAAATTTTATCTTTGCCCAATATAATCTCAGTCAAAATTAAAATTTTTTTGATGAACAGAAGAAAATAAAAAAAAAGAAAAAGTTAACATACTAACCAATTTGTTTTTATTTTACAATACTTTTAAACAAATATCTTATGAATTTAAATTAATTTAGGTCATGTTTAAGCATTCGCTCCTCTTTGAATTACATTTGGTACAGCAGAAAAGGTCTTTTTTCATGGGCATGTCTTCACCGCATATTTGTCTAAAAAATTACAATTATTTTCGGCGGTGGAAGCATGAGAATACAGCTTTGAAACCATGTGTCATCTTTGGCAAAATTGAAAAAAATAATGTTTTTATGAAAATTAATTTGTCAATATGGGGCTTGAGAACATGCATTTGTAGATAAACTATTTCTGGATTTAAAAGTTGCATGTTCCAATGAATTCAAGTATAGGAATGTTAATAATCTGAAACCAGTTATCATTATCGAAGCTTGAAAGCTTTATTCTCGTGGTTCCACACTTGAACATACTTGTAATTTTCGAGACAAAAGTGAGGCGAAGATATGCTCATCAAAAAAATCTTTTCTGCTCTACCAAATGTCATTCAAAGAGGAGTAAATGCTCAAACATCCCAAGAGAATGGTTCCGACAATCGAATCCGAGTGGATTCCTGTTGAATCCGATCAGATTATATTGGAATTTCTATAAGATCGACGAAATGCTATGGGAATCTGGGTTACGGAATGACATTCGGATTCCGATTGTTGAATCTGATCGGATCGTACTATCGGAGTCTGATTGAATCCCAGCGTACGACTCTGACCGGGTGTGGGGTGTGGGTGCAGTGGCGTAGTCAGGAATTTTTCACCATTGGGCCGTTTCCCAACTAAACTATTCTGAAAATTGGGCAACAATGGGCAATTAAAAAACAATTGGGCCATAATTTTTTAAAACTTATTGCCATCACAAAAACGAATATTTATTGAAGAGAGACTCGTGGTTCTCAAACTAAGAAGCGAGTTTACTACTGCTGAAGCTAAGAAAAGTTCTGAAGATTCCTAGCCCCGACTGTTATTGCAGTTGAAAATTATTGCGTAATATTCATTTCAAATAAAGAGACATAAATATCTTTTGATGGGAGCATGGTAGAGATATACGGTGTTCACCAGTGGAAGGTGGAGGTAACAATGCAATAAGTCCTGTCTTATCGAATTTCTGGCACGTTTTTTGAATTTTTTCCGATTTATTCAAAAAACATACGTTTCTAGATGGATCTATACAGTAAACTTTCACCGCAATATAACGAAAAACAAATTTTTCTGCTAATTTTATTAAAAAATTGCTTAACTTCTCGCAAGTAAATGCCTATGGTGCATTATGAACGGGTTCTAATAGTGTTCGACTGGCCCTGTTTTACAGATCTTTGATCGATGGTTCTAATGGATGTCTCAAAATTGAAAATCCATTGTGATGACTTCATGCTCTAGATGAATTGCTATAACGTTCAAACCAAAACTCGCTGAAAAATATATCAGAAAATCTTCAAGACACGATTCGATGCACCCCGTTTTTTCGAATGGTGAATTCCTACTTACAAGGGAACTATTTCAATTGATTCCAAGCTTTCGGCTTCATCTTTTGGCTACCGGTAGGCCTCAGTGAGATTAAAAAAACCCTAAAAGCGTTCGTGCCCATGACTCTTCCTTCCCGAGATATGGTCAAAACTATGTCATAACAAAAGGGATTTTTTTTTATTATTGGAAAGTTTCTTTTTTTTCAGCAAAATAGGTTTAGATTATTTTTAATACAGTTAGTTCTAGTAATAACTTGCTTTCTACAGTAAATTGCAGAAAACAAGCTATTACTAGGGTGTGGGTGAGTGTGGGTGCGGGTCAGAGACCGAAAACGAGTCGAGTACTCGACCAATCGACTCGACTCG